GAAAGTAATGCTGTTTCTCATCTCTTGTAGTCTTATGAAATGGCTTTGCATTTTGGTGAATTTTCTCAATCCACTGAACCTGGAACCATCTGGTGAGCCTGTGAAAATGCCCTCTATATCCACAGATTCTTTATCCATCAATTCAAGCATCCACGGCTTGAAAATACTCTCCCTCCCCCCAAAAAAATATAAATTCCAAAAAGCAAATCTTGATTGTGCCGTTTTATTTAAGGGATGCCATTTCACTATGCCACTGTATTTAATGGGACTCAAACATCCAGATTTTGGTATCCACAGGGTCTTGGTACCAAATCCTAGCAGGTTCCAAGGGCTCATTGTACACACATTGAGATAATACTAATAAAAATGTGTGTGGCTTTAAAAAAAATACACACAAAATGCATTTTGCAAAATGTGCATAGAAATATCCGCACATTTCTATGCGAGACATGAAACAAAAACCTTTTGCAAGGGAATATTCTGGGCACAATTCAAAGTGCTTTTTGTGACCCTATACAGCTCAAGTCCAGGGTATCCAAAGGACTGTATTCTCCCATATGAACTAGTCCGTGTTTTGAGATCCTCTGTGGAGTCTTCTTTCTGTCCCAAGGGGGTCACATTCTAATGATGGGCATGGCCAGTCTCAAAAGGCGAAACAGAAACCAAAATACCCAAATTCTCTTGCTGCCAGTAATTTGGCATTTCGGTCTTTTAGAATGGTGGAAAAATCTATACAAAGCCAGGAAACCATGCAAATGAAAGTGTTTTGGAAAGGGACTGTGAAAGCCAAATTTGGGCCTGGAGCCTGAAATTCTTTACTTACCCCTACATGTATGTGAGGGATAACGGAACAAGTAGCCTGATCTGGTTATAAGGCAGTTTATTAATCTCACCGCATCCTGGGTTTCTCAAGAAACTGCATTGAACATTGTCAATAGCAAGGGATGATAGGAGCTGTAGTCTAGCAGCATGTGGGGTTCCCCACAGGTAAGGATCTACTGTTTTTGAGAACGCAGCTCCATTTGCTTTTATTGGGACACTAAATCAGAAGCCAAGAAAATGAAATGTGGAGCCAACGTACCGTCATGAGCAGAGTTAAACAAAAGGCGCCAAGAGGAACACAGGTGTAGCCAACATATGAAGAGGTAGAAGTTTATTGGAATATAAACATTCAGGTAACATGTAAGATAGAAAAAAAATCCACCAACAACATATACAGACACTTGCTGGAAGGAGAC